TTTTTTTTTCATTTTTTGCCTTTAATATTACTACAGTTGGACATATTTATAATTATATGGCTGGATTTTTTATTTCCCTGGGATGGATTCCCAGAAGTGCAATTAATGTGTCAAAAAATGTTTTTGCAAGCTTTTTATGTTTCTGTCAGATTCCTTTTCCAAAAGACTTTTTTTTTATGCAGAGACCTAAAAATCGAAAGACCATATTGCTGGTGTGTACAGCCACCAGCACTATATGAGAGTACCTGTTTCACAGCATCCAATTCAACACTGGATTTATTAGTAGTTAATTTTGATAGGGTAAAAATAATATCCCTCTGTTTGAATTTGCATTTCATTGATTATAAATGAGGCTGACTAGCATTCAGTACTTGACTAGCATTTGCATTTCTCTTTTCACACAGCATATATATCTTAACTAGGTATCTGTATGAAATTACCTAGTTTTCTTGGCAAGCTTCACTTCTGCCCTATTTAGAGCAAAACTGTTAAGGAATGACAGTTTTTGGAGATTCTAATAAATAATTAGAGGTGTAGGCATTGGTGAGAAGGTCTGTAGGGCAGACAATATGTTTGTAGGGTGAGATAAATGTGAGAATAGAATATATTCACACTTCTTGAATTGCTTGTAGAGCATTCTGTGTCTGGTGTAAAAATGCATGGCAGAGCTTGTAACCCTTAATGTTTACTGTTGCAAAGATACCCATCAAAAACATTTTTAAATTCATGTGTACTTAAAAACAAAGAGGTAAGATTCTGGTTTTGACCCATAATCAGAATTCCTTAATAATGCTGAGTATTTCTATGAATCTTTGTCGTCCCCCCCCTTTTTTTCCATTTGCCTTTGTAAAATTACATGTATATGAAACAGCATTTCCAAGTATTTTTCAAGACTCTGTAATTATAAATATAATTATACATAATAATATATAATATTTATTTATTTATATATATAAATAAAAGCTCTTTCTCATTTTCATATTCCTCTTGTTTATAGTAGAAAAATGCAGGCGCCCCACCTGTACCACAAAGCAGATATTCTAAATATAGTAAAGCCCTGTTCGGTGCCAGAGAATTTTACCACACAGATTGGTCAGATTTAGAGGAAGATGCATGAATAGAAGAATAAAGAGACTACAAATCTGATCTCTCTTGCTAGCTATTCTTACTCATTTACTCACCATCATTTTTTGTACATTTCTTTTTTTTTGTGGAACACTTCTTGCTGATCTTCTCTGTATCGTTTCAATTTTAGTATATATGCTGCCAAAGCGAGCACTTTTGTGCATCTCTTATGTGTTAAATGCTACAGAAAAAACAAAAATTAATAAGATGTTGTTTGGAAAGCTGAGGGAGAAAAGACACATACCAAAATCCAACCATTGTAATTATCATCGAGTATTACACTCTTTTAAAAAATTATCCATATAAAACCAAATGGACACCAGCTCTTCTAAAGCATAGGCAGAAATGTAGAAGAGCAAAGAGTTTGGGTCAATAGAAGTGAAATAACTAGAACAGAAATAATGAAAGTGTTGACACAATGTAGAATGTAACCTGTCTGACATTGGTTACATAACCGATGTCATAACACAGTGTTGAATGGGAATAAGGTTTAATAAATGCATACTTAGGTGTTCATTCACATAGAAAATATTTACTAGATATCTACGATTGTTGTTATTTGTTATAGAGTTGGAACTGACTCAGAACTGACCCTCCAGTAAGTTTTTCAATAAATCACACTAGAGGAAACTGCCTATCCTCTTGCAAAGTAGTTGGTGGATTTGCCTTTGGGATTGCATCACAGCTTCTTACCACTAGGCTACTAGTACTCCTTGTCTAGTATTGTTTTTGTTTTGTATCATTGAGTTAGAACTCACCCATAGCTCATGGTCCAGCAGGTTTTCAGAAGCAGTTAATCTCACAGGAGGAGATTACCCATTAGAAACCATGTTCTTTACTAGTACATTGGTTTATCTCTCCCAGCACTGTCGTAAATAAGGCAGATCAAAACCCTCACTCGGCAACCCTGGCTTTTAGATCATCTCCTGATTTTATGAGAGTTTTATATACCAGCCTACCAGCAGTCCCTGAAGAGAAAGCTCATCTCAGTTACCAGTTTCTGTCTAGATAATTGCATTAACTTCCTGACTGGCTTGTTGCCTCTGCAGTCTGTCATACAAGCCACTGCTGGTTACTTTCCTAAAATAACTCAAATTCTCTTACCTCAGAAACCTCCTGTGGCTTCTTGCCTTCAGCTTGAGTCTGCCTCTCTCAGCCTTCCCTCTCCCTGTGTAATCATTCCACACTTGCCTCTGTAACCTCACATGTGCCCTGATGCCCTGTCTTTGTGGTTTTTCCCTTGACTCTGGAAGCCCTCAAATTTACACTGCTCATCTAGTCTATGTAGGACTTCCCGCTTAATAACTCAGCTCAGCTGTGAAGTTTTTACAGTTAATTCATTCTGCCTCATATATTTCTACCCCTCTAGAACTCTTAGCATTTTGTGTGCATGTACTTGGCAACCATGTGTAGAAGGATAGATACAGCTGTTTGAATTAACCATAAAATGTTGCTAAATTTAGGTAATATCTTCCCAAAACATTTGTTTTTAGGCCCTTGAGATACAAGGGAGCAATATGTGAATACAAAAGATTGTTATTCTTTATTATGATACAAAAGAACAAGGTGTAATGAGACAAAAATTACAGATTCAGCTTTACACTAGAGAGCCAGGACTTGAAAACAGACAAGGATGAGAAGCCCAGCATTTCCATATCATAAGAGGAGGGGTGAGGGAAGAGCCGGGTGGTAAGAATGCTCGGTAGAGCCACCTGTTCTGGGAAACCATTAAAGAGATCCAAGCAGCAGAAGGCGTGGTGCCGTTCACATTTTAAATCAGTATGCTAAATTGCCCCATTTTATAATGGTAGGAAGTCGTGGATATTAGAATCAACACGTAGTTCATCAGACTATAACAGTTTAGGAAATTAACTTAGCCAGATTTTTAGAAATACCAAATATAAGTACATTGTGTGTGTGTGTGTGTGTGTGTGTGTGTGTGTGTGTGTGTGTGTACACTTGGGTGTAAGAGAGAGAAACTATTCCATCTTATATTTCAGTACTGTCTTTGGCTAGTTAAGCCAACTTCAGACTGAGCTATTGATCTTGCAGAATAATTTTTATGCTAAGTCGTGTCTGGTTTTTGTAGCAATTAATAAAATTATTGTACCCTTTTTTTTTTTAGGTTGAATGTAATTCTCGCCTGGACCCTATTAATACAACTTTGCTAAAGGTAAATTATCCATAATCCTACATCCAAAGGTAATCTCAGAAGATACGGGTGTGTTTTTCCTATACTTTTTTCCTCCCCCATAATTTAGAGTTTATAGGTTCGTATTCCATTCAACCACTCAAACATGTTATGTTTTATGACATTGATTACAGTCCCCACATTCTAATGTCACTTTTACCACTGTCTGTGGCTCTGTTTTTATTCACCCTTATATCCACATTCATCCCTTTACCCTCTCTCCCTAACTTCTCAGTTTCATCTTGGACTATGATCCTATGTATTTGAATATTTAATGCTGAATCTCCCTGCTATTGTTGTCTATATTGTAGATCTGCCTATTACTTGGTTAAAAGTTGTGCCAGAGGTTAAGTTCAGTTCTAGGTCGATGGGTGACTAGGGCCCAGAGACTCAGAAGTTCTGTCAGGCCAATAAGCCTGGAAATTACTGTGATTTTGAGTTATGTTCTCCATTTATCTCCTCTCTTCTCTCCAGTACCTTACTATTCTGATCCCAAAGCAGTTAGCAATGGTAGTCAGGCACCATACAGTTCTGGTCTCAGGGTCATGGATGTTGAGGATGGTGCTGTGGACTAATTACTGCTTTGGTTTTCTTTACTCTTCTTTGCTTCACAGAGAGAGATCTATTGTTGCACCATAGATAACCACACAAAAGCTTTTAAGTCTCCAGTCACTAGTCACAAATGTGGGATGTAGAACATTGTCTTTGTGGACCAGGTTAAGCCAGTTAACCTTGGTGTCCCCAGAGGCTGTGGTCCTGAAGCCCTGTGAGTAGTGGTCAATTCCCTAGGTTGTTTGTTTATGGTTAAAAGATAATAAAACATAGTATTTTCATCTCCCCCTCCCATTTTTTTCTCTATTTGGATGTATTTGCAGCCTATACACATACTCAAATACTCATGTTGAGCAATCATTTACCAAACTACTATACATAATTATAGATACAGTCCTTTCCATTTGCCCCTGTCTTCTGTTTGCCTGTGGATTTGTTATTTGGTTGATAACTTACAGGTTAATATTTTTTATTACTGGTAATGAAGGATTATGTATTATATCTACATATTGTAGCCTACAACCTTCCTATACATTTTTACATCATCAAGATCATTTATACCTTTGTATCTGTTTTTCTTGACTTTCTGACAAGCATTTTCCTATGTCATTTATAAATTTTTAAAATGTTGCTCTGAAAAATAAGTAATAGTTAGAAATTGTTTATGTGCTAATCCTGGGGTGTGGTAAAGAATCTTTTGATAACTTTCATAAGGTGAAAGAATGCTATATTCTTTACCTTAGTACACATAGGAAAACTCTTGCAGTTAATTTATAAGTATAACATCAAGTTTCCTCCCTTTCTAATTGGACATGAGGCAAGAACTTCAACCTAGCTTTTCCCCAGAACTTTTAGGTAACTGACCTCCTCTCTTCCCATGCAGTTTACAACCTCTGGGAGGTCAGCTCTAAGTCAGTCAGTTCCAACTTGACAGCAGTGAATTTTGAGTGAGAGTTTGAATCAAGATGACTAAAAATGTAAGGGCTTATCTCACGTCACTTTTGCTCATCCTCACCCTGAAAGATCTCTGCCTTTCTCTTTGAGGCATACTTGAAGAGGGGAGTGCACCCATAGTTCTTAGAAACTCAACGGCGGTGCTCTCAGGTGACCAAAACTCAGTGTTTGGGGCTTCAGGTGATGATTGGTCTAGTCTAAATATAATTAAAACAAAGCAAAAGGCTTAATTTTATACTGCATGTTTGAATTAATATTCAAAACCATAAAATTGAACTCAGCAGGAACCAAAGATTTAGTTATTTCTTGGGGAAAAATACCATCTACAGCAGCATAGTACAGAATGAGTAACTCCTGTGGCCCCTTGAACTGAGTCTTAAACTATTTGATAACTCCTTCCAGCATTCTTTCTTTGCATAGGAGAATTATTTCACAATCTTAATTTGGTTTCAACTCTTAAATTCATGAAAGGACAGCCTGTGGCATTTTAATCTGTTCTATACTTAAATCAAGTTAAATGTTTGTTTCTTATATTATACTTAGAATTTTCAAGAGACTATTCTTTGTGGGGGTTTTTTGTTTGTTTGTTTTATTTAAATTTATTATTTCAGTAAAAATTTACACAAAGACTTTGGATTTCCATTCATTCATTGTTGCACTTTTTTCCTCTCCCAACCCTCCCCGAAAAGTAAAAGAAAAATTCTTTCATTGTTTTAAAAACCCTCCCCCAGGTCCACTCCACCATGCAGCCTCTGCTCTAGACTCCTGTCATGACAAAAATACCTAATCACATATCCCTTTAAACAGTTCTCTCTCTCATCTGTTTCAGTGCAGTATACATTATTGAACCCATCTTTCTCGTCTCTCCCCAACTCTGAAACAGATGAGACTTTTCTTTGTTAAAGGAGCTCTGGTAATATGTGTTGGAGTGTTAGCCAAAAGGTTGGAGGTTTGAATCCATTGGCTTCTCCTTTGAATAACAATGGGCAGTTTCCTCCTTTAAAGATTTACAGCTTTCGAAACCTAGTGGAATGTTGCCATGAGTAAGAATTGGCAGTGGATTTTTAGTTGGAGTTACTCTGTATTAATCTCAAATGAGTGTACTTCTGTGGCATTCCTCTTTGCTAAATGACAATCCTCTTCAATGAAAATCTTAATACCAGTGAATTGAAGCCATGATATCCATGTTTCTTAAGAGAAATCAGTTTGATTGGAATACCCTATGAGCACAGAATGCATAACAGCTGGAAGAAAGAGGGTAGGCTTACGTAAGGCCATAGTGCCCTAGAAAGAGTTTTCTCTGTGGACTGGCAGAATCTGTGTCATTTGGGAGCTTAAGCCCCTACCTGTTGAATCAAGTGTCTCTGGAGAGGAACCCAAGAATCTGAGTCACAAGAAGTCTTCTAGATAATAGAAATGCACAGTAACATTTGTTATGTCCTACTCTAGAAATTCTTGAACTGACAAGAATAACACCTGTCAATATTTGACATTAGAAGCAGCCTACATTTTAGCAATGAGAGAATAGTAGCTGACCGTACCAGTTGGCCAAATTCGACATCAGCACTCTCTTAATTAAAGAGTTGGAAGATAATTTAGGAAGTATGGTGCCATGAGAATTAGGGTCAGTGTTTGAGGATTCTGAAGATAACTGTCTTCAGGTGAATTGAAAACATGGTTGAAGATAGTAGTTAACTTCATTATCACTCCAATAGAAGATTCCCCATGTCCTGTAGTTTACAAACTTGGAGAGCATTGAGTAATTCTTTGCTATTTCTAGTTAAGATTAATGTTAGAATCTAAGACTTTAAGGACCCAACAAGGAGATAGACTTGGTTGCTTTTAACTATTAAGTGAAGGAACCTGAAATCCAATTTTGTCCAGCTTGGAAACACACAAAGATTTCTCTTAAGTGTGAATCACATCTGACTTCCATATGTTCCCTCTTCTAGATGGCAGACTGTGGGGGACTGCCCCAAGTGGTTCAGGTAAGGAGATTTTTGTAATGTGCTCATTTGATTCTCCCATTCTGCCTGTGCAAAAATTAATGCATTTTTCTTTTGTTCCCCTAGCCTGGAAAGCTCACCGAGGCCTTCAAGTACTTTTTGCAGGGAATGGGCTACAGTGAGTAGTAGTACAACTTTTCTGTCTAGCTGAGATTTATTCACAGTTGGGACCTTTTTAATCTGGGAAGCCCACAGTTCTCAAGCCATATAACCTCTGTGCTGGCCAACCTTAAGTCGAGTTTAAACCAAAACATTTAAGGAGCTTTCTTTCATCTTGTGCATGCATATACATTTATTTAAGATGAACAAACACTTAGCTTAACAGTTACCTGGGCCATTGCACTGTATAATTATTCATTGCTTTATTTAATTCTAATAATAGCATTAAGAGGTAAGTTCTAATAAGAAGCTAATTTTATAGAAACAGAAACTAGAGCTCTCAGAGGTCAATTTCCCAGCGGTACATGTAAGCTGTGGAGCCATAATTTAAACCCTTCAACCTGGTTCTAGCGCCCACTATTTTCAACCTCTGTAGCTCTGGTGGTATAGTTTATAGAGGGGGTTTGAATGCACCAGCAACTTCTCTGAAGAAAGATGGGCAATTTCCTCCCATGAGATCTGAAAACCCACTGTGAGGTACGGGGTTTTTATTAGAGTAACTCTTAGGCTATCTTAGCTTTGAATACAAAATTATTATTTGCATAATTCAGTTGATTAATGACTCCTATCCTAGAGAAATAGAGACTGTAAAGGAAAATATCCTCAGTTACGTCTACCCCTCTCTAAAGTGTTTTAGAATAAGGCCAGTGCATGTGTCTGTATTGTAAGCTGCCATCATGCTCAGTTGTACTGTATGACTCCTGAGTTGATTCTTAGTTGGCACAGAATATCCACATGTGCTCTCCTTTCTTGGGGGTGTGAAGAAAGAAGAAAAACTTTCCATCCTGGTACAAAGTTCTTTACCCAGTGTAGTGATTCCCCTTCACTCCCGTGTTTCTTGTACTTGTGGATGGTCGCCATAGTGAGCTGCATGGTCCCCTTCTCTAGGTAGTAACTGGACCCCTAGAGGCAGCCTTGAACCTGGCAGGCAGTCTGTGTATGTCTCATCCGGAGTGGCTGTGTGGTCCATGTCTGTGAGTCTCTACCAGTCAAACCCACACTCACTTCCCTCTGCTTCATTGAAGAGCAGAAGTCTTTCCATTTCTTTTCCTAGGAAATAACTTGTCTTCCAGCCCATTTCTGATCTGAAGCAAGCTGATTGCTTATAGTAGATAGGAAGGTAATAAATTGCCTTTGGCTTGGTGAGAAAAGTAGCATCTGAGATGCTGATACATCATCCAACCTCAGCATTTCTCCGTGACCTTCAAATAAAATTTTTCCCCTTGTTTAGACTATTCTGTCAGTGTCTGCTAGGCAGCCCAGGATGCCACCTGGCACTCTTAGGTTACTAACCTGCCTTTTCCTGTGTCCATCCTGCTTCCAGTCCCGTATGTGCAGCTCAGTCATCTGAGCACCGAGTCAGGTACTTTCTTCTGTGCTGGCCCCTCCCCTGCCTCCTAGCCACACCCTCCTGGCTGCGTTAGATGCTTGCAGCATGGCCTCAGTTTCCTGTGCAGTGAGAGCCTGATAGAACGTGGCTCATTGTTCCTGAAGAGGGTTAGCCTGCAGGTCCAACCCAAGAGGCTCTCCCCAAGGGAGAATCCCGGATCACAGCAGAAGCTGAACTTTTATAGCTTTTAGACATAGCTCCTCTTCCATCATCAGCGACTGATCTGTGAGTTTGACCCCAGTCCTAGAGATTATAGGTAGCTTTAACTCTGAACTACTTATATCAGAGCCCTGCAGGTGATGACATCATTTCACTCCTGCATTGAAATGACAGCTCTGAGGAAATGGCTGGTTCTTCATGAGCAAGGATAAACAAGGAAATTATGCCAGGACATTATCTTTGTCCTGGCCAGTCTTGAAATGCAGTGACAAAACAAGAATCTAAGTTAAACACCTATCCCTAGACCTTTCTCTCAGGTAACACCTCACTCCCTGTGCAGAATTCAGCCCCAAGCCCATCTGCCTTCCTTTTACCTCACCTCCCTGTCTGTTCTGTCTCCTGCCCTTCCCAACCCCCACCATCCTACCTGTCTCCTGCCCTTGCCACACTCCCACCTCCCTACTTGCCTCCTGTCCTTCCCACGCTCTCACCTCTCTGCCTGTCTCTTGCTCTTCCCACACCCCCGCCTCACTGCCTGTCTCCTGCCTTTACCAACCCCTACCTCCCTGCCTGTCTCCTGCCCTTCCCACACTCCCACCTCCCTACCTGTCTCCTGCCCTTCCTACACCCCTCACCTCCCTGCCTGTCTGCTGCCCTTCCTACACTCCCACCTCCCTACCTGTCTCCTG